TTGAAAGGCTTAGAGCTGTTAAACCTGACATACCGTATCCATTACCGTAATCCCAAAAAGGCCCATTGCGATCGGATAATCTTAAAAGATACGACGGATCACTTAACCTCATCCCCACTTTGAAAGTTTCTCGCTCGCTCTCTCTCTCTCTCTCTCTCTCTCTCTCCCGAATCTTCCTTCATAATATGCCCTTTACATCCACAGAAGGCCAGAACAAACAATATTTTCTAAAAGTGCTATTCGTAAAAAGGAAGCGGCCGGAAGGGTTCAAATATTTACGCTAAAAAGGGCAATATTTTGTGTTGTTTTATCGGGAATTGACCAACGAAACCTTACAAAAATTTGGCTGTTAGACAAGCGAAGTCCTTGGCCCGAATCGGGTGTCCAAAAACCGGGACTCCTAAAGACCTGAAAAACGGACAGATTTCAGATCAATTCGGGGCGTTGAAGGCGGTTTTTCAAATAATCCGAACTAGTTTTTCAGCACTAGAAAAACCCGATTCCGCCATGAATCTCTGCTAGCTTGCCCTCGGTTCTTTGAAATTCGAAAAATGTTTCAATTTTTAATTTTTAAAGGATTTCTGCAGACGACGCCACCCATCAGTACAAAAATGGGACCCCCAAGGTTCTCTGCTAGCTTGCCATCCGTTTTTCGGAACCTGAGCTCCGTCTCCTGAATCTCTCCATCACACAAAATTTCTCAAAGCATCTCTGCTAGCTTGCCGCGTCCAAAAATAGCCCAAAATCGCGGAAGTTCTTTTGATCTCCGGTTGACCTCAATTTTTAGCAATTCCCGATCGACCAGCTGACCAGGCAACGGTTGCACCCTAATCTGCATAATCGGCTTCCGGGCCTGCAGCGTGGCCGTGGCGCCACGAGGATCGTCGGGCCAACATTTTGATAAATTTTTGGTCTCGAAAGGTGAGACTGTAGTCTAGGCTATTCCTGGACGAATCATCGCACAACTGGCCGCGGATCCTCTGTAGAACCACGTGGCGTCGTGAAACTGACGAAATACCAAACTGACCCACATCTATTTGCTTAAAAAATCGTACCCAAGGAAGGATCGGGACACCGCGAGGAAAATCGGCGCCACAAATCACGCGCACATATTTGGACCGGCCCACTCAGAAATCAGCACTTCTTTGGGGTGTCGTAGTGAGTTGCAACGTGTAGTCGGAACCTCTCAAGGGAGAGTGACAGCAAATTATAAGAAAGAGAAAGAGGGAGAGAAAGGGAGGGGGGAGAAGGGAGAGAGAGTGAGAGAGGCAGAGAGAGAGGCATGCTGATTTCTGCTACTAAAGTACAGCCTATTAATGCATAAATATGTCTAAAAATACATTGCAACATAAAGCACATCAAATATCGTCTACAACCGCCCATGAATAGTACAAAATCGAGTCATAACCTGCAAAAGGTTCGGGCCTGTTTTGTCAAAACAACCATAAAAAATTTATTACGAAATGGGTTGTTACCGCAGGTGGCATTTGAATATTTTAAAGGATTACTGTAGTGTCAAGGCTTTAAAGGGACGTTGCCGGGAATTCGTGAAAGAGGGCAAGTATCACTCTGTATTTCTCTCCCGCACTATCTCCATTATTCGATCTCTCTCTCTTTCTCTCTCTCTCTCTATCTCTCTCTCTCTCTTTCTCTATCCCCTTACTCTCTTTTCCTCTCAACCCATCGCCCTTCCACTCGGCTCCACTGAACACCTCGAAGTCATGCGCTGGTTTCGCGTCTCGACTTCACCTGTCACCGTCCCTTTAAGGCCTAAACTCTTGCAACTCGATGTTTCGACCCCCGGTTCCTTCGAAAAATGGCCTCCCATCTGCACGTTGGATGTTGGGGACTCCCTCCCCCACACAAAACAGCAAATATTTTTTGATCTTCAAAAGTCGACGGTAAAACGGGTGGCCATTCATCTACGGTATACCAGAAATTTTGGTGGTTTGATTTTCGGGTTTTTCGAGGGGTAGGAGCAGATGAAATCGGAATCTGAGGGGAGAGAAAAAGAAAGAGAGAGAGAGATAGAGAGAAAATAAACAGTGGATTACCGCCCCGGCGCGAGGTCCATAAAAGGCCCGGGTAACGGTCACTCTTTTTGAAATGGGCTCCGCCCCGTGTTCCCCCGACTTTCCATACTGTTTACACTCGTTTGGGATCTATGATTTTACCGTACTATAGACATAAATATAGCTTTTACAATATATCTAAGCTTCCCACGTCGTTATTTGGTTTTTTAAAGGATCTGTGAGGCCAAAATTTACCTTATGCTGTTTCTGAGGTCTTGCTGCTCTTTAAAAGCGTTCCACTTTTTTCTATCGTCTTGAATCTATAGACTTTAAACTATAATTCCATTACAGTACCACCAATACCCACAAAAATGACAGCCGAAACCGCAAGACGCGTATCCTTCGACGAGTCGGTGGCCGTCGAAACCGACGCACCAATGGAGGAGGAAGCTCTGATTACATGTGGTAAGCTATTGGATTTTTTAATCCAATGGTCCCTTAAATTAATTTAAGATAATTAGATTTTGGCATTAATAGAATTTCACTCTATTTTTAAAATCATTCTTAAACGGTAAGTTTCAGAATTCCTGCCCGTCCCAAGCCGCGAACTTTTCCGGAAACCGTCGCTGACCTTTGAGATGACGTTACCACCGGTGGAAGAGGAAGGAGAAGCCAAGCTGAGCAAGCAACGGTCGTGTGAAGCGGAGACAATTGTGGAATGGTGGGTTTTAGGAATAGTTAGGCACATGTAGCGGTCGCGGGCGAGAGAGAGCATGAGAATGAGAAAGAGAAGGACGGTGGGAGATAGAAAGATAGAGAGAGAGAAACAGAGAGGGAGAGTGAGTGAGAGCGATAGTAAGAGAGACAGAGAGAGAGAGAGAGCGAGAGAGAAAGAAATACTTAACTAATAACACTTTTCAGATCGCCCTAGTGCGTCGAATTTGCATCCCAACCCTTCGATCTCCCATCAACAAATCGTGTAGCCTCGTCGTCGTATTATTTTCTGCTTATTGTACAGTATGCCGAACATGTGTTCTTATCTACATGTGCAATAAATTTATTTCAATAATTTGAAAAAATACGCTGCACTACGTACTTACGGTGATGCGGAGACGGTAATTTGAATTTGCTAGAGGATCGAAGTCCTGAATCTGACTGTACGCAACGATACGTCCTTACGCTTGCGTTATAAGCACGATATACGATATCTAAATCAGAATTTTTCTAAATATTCTCTGCTAGCCTGCGTGAATCGAAGCTTGCCTGAAGCACGCATCCGCCAGGATACTTTTGACGCCCCATCAAGAGCCGTATTTTTGTCTAGTACTGGACAGTACCAATCACGATAACCTCCAATTCCCCCGAAATTTCCTAATGACCATGCTCCATGTTGAAGTGGCAAAACGCGCGTGCCCGTTTTGGGGAAATGGGTTCATTGCGCGGCTGCGATCACCCCCCTAGGCGATGGCCACTTTTTGCCGATTGCCAGATTGCCCTCCGTGCCCGTCTCACTCCGATTTTCGGTTCTTCGCCCTCAGCCTTGTTCTGCTACTTCTCCTGCTCTTGCTCTTTTTATCCCCTATTATATGCGGGGGTATAAATTGGATGGGGATGAGAGCGGTCGGGCTGTTTCTTACTGTCAGCAGCAAAACTGAGGCCGATCTAGCTCTATTTTCGTAGTCTTTTGTTACAAACGGTACCTAAATGTTTCGAACGGTGTAGTACCTCCCTCTAAAATCCCCCGATAACAAACCAGTACCGAAAAATATGCGTTTTAAAGTGCGCTGTCTCGTGTACCTCGAATCGGCTTCGACCCAATTCCGCTACGCTCCCCTTTACACCCACATTTCTAGCGCTCCAAAAATGGGTCGAGGGGCTGCGTACGCGGCCATCGCCCTCTCCACGGCATGCGTCACCCTGTCGCTGCTCAACCTCGTGCAGATGAACTCGCGTATCTCCGTCATCCGCCAGGATCTCAGCCAGTAAGTCCTCGGCCTGAAACTTAAAACGTTACCTGCTGATCCCCTTAAATCCCCGCCATCTTCAGGGGGATGAACGAGTTCGACCGGATGTCGGCCGATATTTGGCACGACCTGATGGACACGAGGGGCCAGACGGCGGCCAGCACGCATAAGGCAAAGAGGCAGACACAGGATGGACTTGATGCCAATGGGGAATGCCGTGAGTTTTGTTCCTTTTGCGTTGCCTAGCGTCAACTCCAAACGTTCAACGGAAAGCGTAACCGGGTTTAAACGGTCTGCATGAGTTGCGTCTACTCCAAGGCGTTCAACAGAACGCGTAACCGGGTTAAATGAGTTAGCGTCAACTCAAGGCGTACAACAGAAAATCTCAAACGACTCTTAAGGGGGCTTGAATGAGTTCCGTCAACGCCAAGGCGTTCGAAAAAAACCTAAAATCCAATGATTTCAGACTGCTCCGGCAACAACCTGTGTCCGGCTGGCCCATCCGGCCGTCCCGGTACTCCCGGCCTTGATGGAACCCCCGGACATCAAGGTGAACCCGGAAGTGTTGGAGCACCAGCTGCCAACGTCTTCTTCATGGTAAGGTCATCATCAACAGCTCAACCTCCTTGCAGTTGGCCCACAAGTCGGAGTGCCGAAAGTGTCCCGAGGGCCCCCGCGGCCCGCCCGGCCTCCCGGGAAACCCGGGAGAATCCGGCCGAGCCGGTCCACCCGGATCCCCCGGCACCACCGGAAAGCCCGGAACCTCTGGATCACCCGGTGGTCCCGGAGACAATGGACCCGATGGGCCACAAGGAGCCGAGGGCCCACCTGGGCCACGAGGAGAGGAAGGAGTGCTTGGAGGTATGTTTTGCTCTGTGTGTCACGGTCCCTTTAGAGCCTGGAGATCCTGGAGAGCCGGGAGAGCCTGGGCCCCCTGGACAGCCCGGATTCACCGGATTCGACGGCGAACCGGGAAAACATGGAAAGCAGGGCGAGACGGGACCTATTGGAGAGCCCGGACACGATGGTGGGTGGAGATTTTGGGTGTCATTAATGCGCGAAAACGTAACTCAAACGAAAAACTTCCTGGCAAATTTCCAGCCATCAGAAGCCTAACCATAAGCTTAGAAATAAAGCTAAGTCTGAGCCCGAGTTAAGCGCAGGCCAAAGTAGGTAGGCCTAAGCGTAAGCTTATTTTTGGGCCCAATGGGCAATTTTCAAAGGGGGGGTTTTTAGGGGGGTTTTTTGGGGGGGGGCCGGGTGGGCGGGTTTGGAAAAAAAAAAAAAAGGAAAAAATTGTTTTTATAAATTTACGGGGGCCTTAAAAAAAAAAATTTTTTTAAAAAATTAACTCAACTTCTTTTTCCTCCTATGGGGTTTCCGGGGGGGGGGGGGGGCCCTGGCCCCCTCCGGCCCCCCCCGGCCGGGCCTTGGGGGGTGGTTTTGGTTTTTTTTTGGGTTGTGTTTTTTCCGGGTTGGGAACCCCCCTTTTTGCCCTTTTTTTTTTTCTTCTTTGCCAATTGGAAAAAAAAAAAAAAAAACAAAAAAAAAACCGGAACCCGGAGGGTTTGGGAAAGGGGGGGGGTGGGCGGAAGTTTCCCCGGGGCCGGACCCCCCCCCCGGGGGGGCGGGCCCTGGGGGGTTCCCTTGGCCCGGGGTTTGCGGGGGGCGGGGGGCCGGGGAATTTTTTCATTGGCCTTTTTTTGTTAAAAAACAAAAAGCTTGTGAAACCAGAGCCTAACCCTAAGCCGAAGCTGAAGTCCAAGCCAAATTAAAGCCTAACTAGAGCGAAGCCGAAGCCGAAACTAATATTAAGCCAAGCCTAGCCAAATAATAAGCCTAAACCCAAACCTATGCCAATTTTAATTTTATGCCTAAGCCTAAGCTAATTAAGGTTAGTCTAGGTCTAACTTAGATCTAAGAGTATAGCAGTGACTTGCTAAACTCCGACTCGACTACCGTAATCCATTATTTTGAAAAGATTAGTTAATGTAATCTTTAATACCACCATATTTTTCAGGAGCCGCCGGTTCCCCCGGAGGCCAAGGAGGTTACGGCCCGCCCGGCCCTCCTGGAGACGACGGAAAGTACTGCCACTGTCCGGTACGCCACGCCGTTCACGACAAGCACAGAAGGAGACGCGTCTAAGGGGACGGCGCCACCTAGGAGGTCCTCAGAAACCCCGAACAATCCCCGAAATAAAGATGCGAGTACACGGGAAGCCTATCAACACTTGAGAGCGGCACGGACAAATGGACTTTACCACAAAACCCGGATTAACCCCTTCGAAGGGCACAAACAAAAACACGGCACAAACCGCTAAAACGATTTTGGCTTGAGGTTGAGGCTGAAAAGCCGGTAAATTCCGGGGGTGGGAAATCATTAAACAAAATTGCAATTACGCAAAATCTTGCCAAATTTTGCCTGGAAAAAATTGATTCCTTGAAAAATTTTAGGAGCTAGTGAAGTTTGATGATTTTTAAGTTTGGGAGCTAGTTAAAAATAAATTCTCGATCGGGCACCCCCGATCGGCGTAATAACGGGTATTCTGGGGTAGTTTGATGCGCTGAGTTCGAATTTGACACTCTTAGACTACAAATATTTGATTTTAGACTACAAATTACAAAAAATCGAACCTCGCCATGTCCAGCTCGTCGAAGCACCTCGTCAAGCTATGGGACTTCACTCTATAGGACCTTGCTAAGCGTTACACGTTGACCAATTCCATGACTGGTTGTAAGCCTGGGACCGCTTCACAGCCCTCGGACTTGTCCCAAATGTCGTTTACAAGTCAGGAAATGATCAGATACGGAATTGCTATATTCGGATTCGGCGCGAAACCACCCCGCAAAGGTGTTTTTCGCGCGACTTGGCGATGTTCGCCTTTTTGTAGTTTGTAGCCTAAAATCAAATATTTGTAGTCTAAGAGTGTCAAGTTCGAACTCAGTGCATCAAACTGCCCCAGAATACCCGTTTTTACGCCGATCGGGGGTGCCCGATCGGCAAAATCAGCTCCACAATTTGCACCTAAAATCTACAAATCCTCCAACCGCATTTTTAGTGCGGTTTTAAAGGTAGCGTGCCATCTCGGCCCTTTTCCAACGGGCCAAAAAAACCCAGGTATATTTTGGCCGCTGATCGGGTCTCTGCCGGGAGGTTGTTCGTCATTCGGGGCCAGAAGGGGAAAGAGTGAGGGGCAGATGGAGAGACGCAGGCATTGGGCAACACAGATTACACCTTCGCCTCCCCCTCTTTCTCTCTATCACTTGGTATCTCTATCTCTCGTTCTCTCTCTCTCCCTCTCTATCATTCGGTCTCTTTCCTTCTCTGTCTTTATGCCTTCAGGGCCCTCCCTTTCAAAATCGCCAAAAAAGTGTCGGCTGGGCCCTCTGAAAGCCACTTGTCCCCCTTGTCCAATCTATTATTACATTTTTTCAGGGTGTTCGGCATATGGATAATTGATAATAGAACGATGATTCCTATTAAAAGTGTGGTAGACGCTATTTTTATCTTAATGGATTACGTTAGCTTAAGTCACTTCCGGTCAGGATTCCTGAAGGATATTTGCTAGTTTCCTCGCAGTTCCTCAAGTATCTTTGCTAGTTAACAACAATATCAGGACCGCCAAAATCCCGAAATATTCCTGGATATGTCGGGATTTTGGCCTGTCGGTATTTTAGCCTATCGCGGTTGTCGGCATTTTGGCTTGCCGGGATTATGGCTGTCGGAATCTTTCTGTCGGCATTTTGGCTTGTCACGATTTTGGTGTCGGTATTTTGGCTGTCGGCATCATGGTTTGTCGGGATTGTGGCTGTCGGTATTTTAGCTTATCCTGGTTTTAGCTGTCGGTATTTTTGTTATCTGTCGGTATTCCGGTTATCATGATTACAGCTGTAATCCTTAAAATACCAATAACCGTTCGATATTTCGTAAAGCCCCCAGATCCACTTGGCCCTTTCCCCCGGGCTCGACCGGGGGGAAACATTGTGTTAGGTCTGATGGAAAATCGTTTTTCACCCCGCTTTTTGAGAGCCATCCAGCAGGGAGCATGGGCCCTAAGGAGATGGGCCCTAAGGGGATGGGCCAGTTGTCCCCGGCTCTCCTGCCTTCTCCTCCTCCTGCTGTTGGCCACATTGACAACGAGGCGAAGGAGATGCTCTCAGCTGCTCGCACCGCTTAGGGCTCCCTACTTTATCTGACACTCATTGATTTGGGCCCCTCGCGTGATTGTTGCCCTTGATAGTGCTGTCGTCACGTTTCCGGAAGTTTTCGTAGTGCAATTTGGATGGTTCCGGAGTTTCGACCTTTCCATCCAAGGCGATTTGAAAAATCCACTAAAAGAGCTGCCTTTCGCTTCTAGAGTTTTTAGAACGCCGACATCCCAAATGCCGACACCCGAAATGTCGACTGCCAAAATACCTACAGCGAAAATACCGACACCCGAAATCCCGACATTCAAATCCCGACAGCCAAGCTGCCGGCACGCAAAAGTTTGGTTTTAAAAGGTACCTCACATTCACTTTTGCCTTTGCGTTGTCGAAACTTTGTCGACACTTCGGTCGGTATTCCAGTTCCATTTTAATTTTTTGGAATTCTAGCTTACGAAATTTTAGCAGTTGGCGCTTCGGTTGTCGGTATTCCAGTTGCCGGCGCTTTTGGCTTGTCGGCATTCTGCCCGTCAAAATTTTCGTTGTGGGCATTCTAATTATCGGCATTCTTGGCTCGTCGGCATTCTGGCCGTCGACATTTTCGCTGTCGGCATTTTAGCTCTGGTTCTTTCAATACTCGGCATTCTCGTGATGTCGACATTCTGGCTGTCTATCATACATTTTCGCTGTCGGCATTCTTGGTCTGCGGCCATTCAAAATTCACCAAAAAAATGCCATAGGTAACCAAAAGCTTCTCGTACGATGGCGAAATCAAGAGATTTTTTGTTGGCTGGTTCCTCGCTATCGTAGATTTCACGCCGTCATTGATTTCGCTTCGTACTCTACCGCACTGTATGATGCACTGTATCCCATTAAACACCTCAAAACATTTTAGCGCTACTCCACACCCCCATTTTCTGGGTGAAACACGGCCGCGGGAAGCCCACAGAGGTTTTTGACCGTGTTGAAATCGGATCCAGCCTGGGGGTCCCACCACGAAAAGAAGGAGAAGGAGGACGAAGAACCGGCACAACGATTCCGGTACTGAACCACCAAGACAACGGCCCGGCCGGGTATTGACGAGGCGACAAGGGGGGAGGGTTAAGGTCTGTTTCTGATAGGTAAGGGGGGACAGGTGGGTGGATGTCATGAACAAAAATTCAACTCCCAATCTTTGATGAGAAAGCAAAACGTCTTGCCACGGCCAGGGGTCGAACCCGGGTCTTGTGCGCGGCAACCGAGCGCAAAACCAATGAGCCAACCGGCTGGTGGAATTGGGAAAGAAATTTTGACCATCCGCCTATAGAATTTATCGTAGCGGTGTCTTAATCGATCACGTGATGGGCCCATTCCCCCCCCCCCCCATAATGCCAAAGCGCCTTAAAACTTATATTCATCTTCGGTCATATGTAAATTTTTACAGTAACCCGACGAGATGCCGCTGCTGTTCGGACGAGGCGACGCGACCTCGTCGGCCAGGCCGCCCGGCGGGCTCGGCTCTTCGCTACGCAGCAGTACGGGCTCACAGGACCTTTTAAAAGTACAGGTGCGGAATCGACGAGTTTATAAATCTTTACTTCAACTAGGTTGGAGGGAGCGGGAGAGCGCGGGAGAGAGAGCGGGAGAGTGATAGTCAGAAAGAGCGAGAGACAGAGAGAGAGAGAGCGATCGAGAGGTCGCGTGATATGGAGAGAGCGAGAGAGAGCGAGAAAGAGCGATAAAGAGATGGAGAGAGCGAGAGAGAGCGAGGGATAGAGATGGAGAGAAAACGAGAGAGCGAGAGATATGGAGAGAGCGAGAGAGAGACGGATAGAGAGAGAGAGAGTTAGAGAGAGCGAGTGATATATTAACAACAAAATACCTGGACCACATTTTTTGTGGTTTTTAGACCGATGGCTCCAACAGTCGAAAACAGTCGACAGGCACCCGATCCGGCGTCGACCCATCCAGAGCTGTACAACAATTGTAAGAGAATCCCATAACAAATCCTAGAACTACATAACGCTAATAATAAAACTCCACCTCCTTTTAGAAAACAAAAAATCGCGGAAATCCCGAAACCGCCGGCCGACTGGCGGCAGCGGTTGAAGGCGTTCTACAAGCGGCACAACATCAAATACCTCAACCCGCTCGTTTTCATTATGATCTACATGTTTGTTGGTGAGTCCAACTCATTACGACATGGAATAAGAGCAGGTCTCTAGAAAATTTAATCGATAAACGGACCAATAAAAACTAAGAAAGGGAATTAAAGTAAAAACGAGGCCAAATTAACGGACTGCGACCTGAAATCTTCAAGGTTTAGCGGAATTAAGGAAATTTGTAGTTTGTTGAGTTATCGCAAAAAAAATTAAATATTAGACTAATTTCCAGGCGCGATTTTCTTCCTTTGGCTGGAGGGCCCTTCCGATTCTCGGCGGATAGCCAACGAATACGCACACTATCGACGCGAAAAAGAGCTTCTCATGCGCCGATTCGAGGAGATTGTCGGTACGGTATTTTATTTTTTTTATTTCCTAAATCTGCCCATCTTTCTCTTATCCCTATTTATTTTCCGTTTTATTTTTTGCAAAAATTCTTTTCCAGATCGCGCCCTTCTGCGAGGTAATCAGTCCTTTAGAATGACCGATGAGAATGAAGGATAGAAACTGTAGCATGAAAACTGCGGTACTGGACTGTTAGCGGGGGGACTTTTAGCAGGGTAGGTAAATTAATTTTTGTTTTTTAGGTTTTTATTATGTTTTTAGAGGTTTTAAATGCTAGCAAGTTCCAAAAAAAACAGTTAAAATTTTGAAAATTCCACATTTTTACTTTTTTCGTAAATGTTTTATACATTTTTGAACAAAAAGTCAAAGACGAAAATTTTTAGAATAATTTCATGAGTTTTTAAAACTAATATTGTATAAATCACTTTTAAAATTATTTATATTTTGTAGTAGGACCTTCCAAACGCTCCCCCCTGCTAACAGACCAGTACCGAACACTGCTTGCCATGCTTTTGCAAATCTCTTTTTTATTAATATTTAGAAGGCGGCTTTTTATTAGAATTCAGATAGACAATCACGGCGAAGGCCCCTCATGCTCCTTCCATCGAAAGGTTCAGAGCCCCCGGTTCGATTCCCCCCATATAAATACGAATAGAGAATGAGAGAAGCTAGAGATAGCCAGTAGAAAATCCCCCATATTATTGCATGAGGACGGCCCGGATTTTCATTTTCCTTTTTTTCTTTTTTTCCTCGATATCGTTTCGATCGTCATCTTTGGGCATGTGTATTTTTGGGCTAAGTTTAAGCTTGCGCCAAAGCGAGCCTGAGCCTGAGCTTAGCTTATTCCTGAGCTCGAGCACAAAGCCTATACCTAAGCTTCGACCCAAGCCGAAGTTAAGCTTAAGTTGAAGCTTAGCCTAAGGCTCTACTTGTCCGTTAAGCTCGAGCACAAACTTCACTCGAAGCCCAAATCAAGGCTAAGACTGAGCAGAAGCTAAGCCGAGGCTAAGCCTAAGCTGAAACTGAAGCAAAGCTGACGCTTAGACTCAAGCTTAAGCCTAAGCCAAGCCCGAGCCCACGCCAAAGCTTGCTAAGCCTAAGCTTAACCTAAACCCATTTTCAGCCGATCGAGCCATTCGCAATCGACCGGCCCGCCGAATGTCGCTGACGCAAGCCATCGATCATTTTCATAAAGAGGTATGGTTTACGTAAGACTTTATATACTTCATGCGTATTGGTTCACCCTTAAAGTAGCGTTTTTTCAGACCCTTTTGACACGGTTTGATTACAGATCAACTTTTCCGTGAAAAACGAGACTTCCTGGGATCTGGCGACGGCCATGTACTACGCCGGAACGTTGTTTACAACGATTGGTATGTTTCAAGAATTTGTGGCTGTAAAATCGGGCTTAAGCACTACTAAAAAAATTAACAATCAGCAAAATTTTGTAAAAACCACCGTTTTATGTTCAAAGGAGCGTTGCGTAGTGTAACGTAGCGCAGCGTACCGTCTGTCTCATTCTCTATCTACCCCTCTCGCTCTCTCTCTCTCACACTCTCTCTCGCTCTCTGTCCCTCTCCCTCACTCACTCTCTCTCTCTCTCTCTCTCTCTCCTCTCTCTCTCGCTCTCTCTCCTTTGTTTTCATTTGCGGATCATGTCATAGCCCCCTAGGAGTCACATGTTCATCCCCTTCCCTTCTGTCCCCACCCTCTCTCAACTGTCATAAACGCCGGCCACACATGACGCAAGGGCCCATCAAGTTTTTTTGCGGAAAACTCAAAACGAAGCCGAGCTTTTCATTTCGAGACCCGTTAGCTCAGCGGAACAAAATCATAAAAATCTAAAAAGTTGGGATAATGAGCAGCAACGGTCGAGGAAAGCCGCAGGAATTTTTCAAGAGGCCTGCAAACGATCACTAGGGATTCCGTATGCAGATGTATCGATTCCGTTTTCGTCGGGCGCCGCGACACGCAACGCGCGCCACTGGAATACACCGGAAGAATTACGCAATGGAAATTCTGCCCGGCGCGTCGCGTGTGACGGGTGCGGACAGGCTAAAAACTATGGATTCCGTTGCGCATCAATCCGAATTTGTTGCTCCGCGACCCGAAACACGGGCGCCTGTACGTTTTTGATGAATTTACGCATTTGATTACGCAATGAAAATACATCAGACGCTTCGAGTGTCGCAGGCAAATCCGCGAATTTTTCCGGCCGCGACACGCAACGCGCGCCACTGGAATACACCGGATGAATTACGCAATGGAAATTGTGCCCGACGCGTCGCGTGTCGCGGGCGGTTGCTGATACACTATCCTGTTTTTTACGAAAATCTCTGCAAAAACACGTGTCCCCAGAAACGTGCAGAACGGTTTGTGGGAGAAGAAACTCCCGGCAGAGGGCCCACCGTGCATGGCCATCAATCGCCGGAAATGGCGCAGCTGGGGACCCCCGGGCCCACACATAATTTCCCCCGCGGCGGCTGATCTGGTGTGAATGGGCGGACAGTTGTCTTTTCGGTTTGAAACGCTTGGGGGACGCTGGGACATTTTCGTCCCAATCATACGGCCCCAATCGTTTTTGGGGGCCAATCGAAAAAAGTGGGGAAAAGTTGGTGAACAAATAGCCCGTTTGACGGATCGGGATGGGGAGGGGGAGGAGGAGGAGGGGGATGATTTACTGGCGCCAAAATACGCGACACTGGTTGCCTCAAAACCGCCGGTTCTGGTTTGTTAGCGGGGTGGGGGTATTTTATGGATTTTATTGTCTCCACGCAATTTTAAATTAAAAATAGTGGATAAAATTATTTCTAAGAATCGACAATTAAATTTTCGGGCACAGTTTCTAATCCTGGTTCCGATCCCGCCGAAAAAAAAACCCGAAAAATACCAAAAATGGATGAGGAAAACCTGAGAAAATTTGGGACACTAGGCGTCCATCTCCCCCGCTAACCCCTCCCTCGCTAAGGCACAAGTACCGATTCGCTTCCCTTGAGCATCCAGAGGAGTGCGACTTTTCTGAGCAATTCAAAATGAATAAAAGTGAAAAAAACTAGATAAATAATTTCTAAAAACGTTTTGAATCCGAATTTTTGGTAAAAATCGTCCAATTTTCGTCGAAAATCGATATTTTTCTTGCAATTTTTCAATCTAAAAATCTGAATTTTTAATATTTTTATTCAAAATCGGTATTTTGAAGGCATTTAATAAAGCAGCACTAACGTACCTTTTGCTGTTTTATTGAAATTATTTTTGGGTTTTTTCAGGCTACGGTGACGTGAACTGCGTGACGACCGCGGGCCGGATCCTGACCGTCATCTACTCATGCATCGGTAACTCAACGAATTCCACTTTTCATCCCCCTCTTCCAGGCATCCCCCTTATGCTAATCACGCTCACCGATCTCGGCAAGTTCCTCTACCAGGGCATCAACGGGTGCGTCAAGGTAAGGCGCCCGACTTCAGCAAGTTCACCCCCGTTTGCAGAGCGTTGACGACGCGTGGGCCTACCTTGGAATATTCCGGATATTCACCGGAAAGAAGAAGAATCGCGTGGATATTCGGGTAGATGAGGTCGAGGCGGCCGAACGGGGAGAAGTCCAATCGATCACGTCAAATCATTCCGAGATGGGGAGCACCAACTCGGATCGGTAGGTTTTGAGAAGGATTTGGCACTGGGCTGTTAGCGCGGGTAAAGTACTGGGAAATGCCCCCCCCCCCGCTAATAGTCCAGTACCAAGAATCTTTATGGCTCTAAAAGCGTGTGTTTCTTTTAGCTTCACCAAGGAGACGATCGACACCGGGTTTGTAGCATTTTGTAGCAGTCTAAAAAATTTTAGTTTATAGCCCTATCCCCATTTTTTTGCACCCACCCATCCCAACTTCAAGGAGTTGAACCTTTTTCAAGACGTTTTTTACAGCGAAGACGACCTCGATGAACTGCTTGAAGAGGAGGAGAAAATGCCGAGAATGAGCGTGAAGGTATATTGTTATTTTACGAAAAATACAACAATTTTTTTCGCCAAAATCAGCAACTTGTAGGTGGCCCTCGGGATCACGATCGGGTGGATCTTCTTCTGCTCGGCCCTGTTCCCGATGTGGGAAGATTGGACGTACGGCGAGTCGTGCTACTTCATGTTCATCTCCTTCTCCACTATTGGGCTTGGCGACATCGCCGTCGCGCATAGGGGGTATGTTTGTTATGAAATTTTTGGCAGTTTTTCATCGTTTTTGGTACTGGACTGTTAGCGGGGGGGGGGAGTATTAATAGAGTAATATATTGTAGAAGCAATTTGACTCCGTATGAAAATCCCCCGATAACAGCCCAGTACTTTCGTTTCAAATCAACTTTTTACAACCAATTTTTCTAGAAAATGGTGCTATGCTTCGTTTTCGTGATCGTCGGTCTCTCCCTCGTGTCGATGACCATCAACGTCGTGCAGGTCAGGGCTTCCGTCATATTCCAAGTTTAATTCACGCCCAGGTGGCCATCGAGGAGATGTACATGGCCTTCCTGATGAAGCTGATCATGGAGTATCAGGAGAAAATGGCGGCCGGCGGGGATCCAAAGGCTTGTTTTAACGTTTAGAAAACTTACAACCTTTTTAAACTATATTATCATAATTTCAAAGCTAGTTTTGAACTTTTAAAACCATAAAATTTAACTTAACTAAACTTTGTTTAGGGCGCCAGCATGGGGATGATGCGAATGTGGGGCAACAACAAAACCGCCAAACTCTTGATGCCGCTTTTAGGGTTTGTTTTATAGACCTTGAACTGCCTATGACCGTACGTTTAAACCTAATTGCCTTTTTTCTAGAAAAGAAATGAAACGCACGGCGATGGAAAAGGTCGAGGTTGAGGCGCAGAAGAAGGGAATTGAGGTAAGCATTTCACACAAAAAAAATGGATTTTTTTTTCTCAAAATACCGACAGTTTTTCTAAAGAGGGCTATGTCAAAAGAAATGTCGAAATTCGAAGACTATTATAAAATTACGAAATTTTGAAATATCGATATTTCGTTTTCGTTTTGTGGTGG